AATTGGATGATATTTTAACCCGGCGTTTTGGTTTGGAAGATATCAACAAAAAAACGTTTTGATGTTCTTTAAAAAAGCTTTTTCTTTAGGTATTCTCAAAAAGCCTGGAAAGGACGTGCAGATCTCACCAAGCTCCACCCTTCCAAAGCGCAGAAGTCAACTGCGGTGGCGAGAGTATCTTTTTCCATTTTGTTCAGCTCGCACAAGTCGAGAAAAATTAAGTTGAAAAGTGACCTCATATGAGGTCAAATGGCCTCATATGAGGCCATTTGTCACCTAGACACTAGGTACTGTACAAGCAACTTACCACTGCACTATTGGGCGACTCCGAAAAACATAAATTGTGTACACACAAATTTCCTTGTGTATGTGTGTCGTATTTTGTGCCTTGGCACGGAAATGCATGTGAACAAAAATTTGTGTAAGACACATTTAATGCCAATTCACCCTCAGTGAGGTGTCAGCACGTCGGCGGACGGATTGCGGTACCCCTTCACGCCCTATCCTATGATACCCAAATGAGAAATCTCCTCCTTGTTTTGCTGTTGCAACGCGCAAAAAGGCAACGCACCATCACTTTTCGTCACCGCCTCAACACGGAAGGGCGAAGACGACGAGACAGGCGGATAACAAGGAGTGCATTGCAACACCCCTCTACATCTCCATTTGCTAGTGGTAGGAGGGGTTGTTGCTGGGACGAAGGAGCCGCCGGCTTGGGGACAAATATCGGGTGCTGGCTCCTCGTCGGAGTCGGCAACATGAGCCATGTAGACGTTGGGCTGCGGGGTTGGACAGCGGCTGATACGACGGAGGGAAAGTGTGGAGGGAGGCCAGATCGAAATAGGAATGAGGTTGCCGAGGGGTGGGATGGGTTGATCGGACAGATCGCAGAGAAATATTTGAGCACATGGTATGATATAGGGTGGTATAGGTGGGTGCGGATGTGCGTTTGTGTCTGTGCACAAACAATTACATCGGGAGGGGAACGAAGAGCAAATCGGCGGTTTGTGTATGCACAAACACCTCCGACTCAATCAAAATCGGCGGATTTGCGCATACACAAAATGTGTTTTTATGTTTTTCGGAGTCGCCCAGTACATGTTAAGAAAACCACTTGCACTTCTCTTCTCATCCATTCCGCATTTATGCTGAAAGGCAATGGCATGAATCCATCGCGATTTAAAAGCGCTCAGATGAATACACCCGTATATGGCTGGGCTATAGCTAGAGCTAACAGGTACATCCTGCCATTCTAAACGAAATTAGTGCTCATCGATGCGGGACACCGGGCCGTTCTGAACGCGCTTCGTCATTGGAAGGACGGGAATCGGGGTTTGCGTTTTGCATTTCGACGTTATGCGCACTACCCCTCAGCATACAATACTCTAAGCGTGCACTACTCGGGAGTACAATACCTGTACAGTAACGGTTACACTGTATACTGTATACAGTGTAGAGGCATGAGTCGAATACTTTAGACATATGTGAAAGGAACAGATAAGAGTGTCCAAGTTCTTTGTTCAAACCACACGCACTTCGCAGCGTGCAACTCGCGAAATGACTTAGTAGTGAAGTTTCTCTTGGCAATTTTTGTACAGATATACTGTAATATGTACCAGCAACTGTCACGCCATTGGGCGAGCACCAGAACGGGCTCTAGACGACGAAGTTTGCTTGTTCTGCCTGAAAGTTGTTGCTCGTTATCGCGAAGCGTAATGCTACCTGAAGGCAGTATGTGCAATTAAATTTGTCCTTCCGAAGATGGGCATGCATCAGCCCTACGAAGACTTCCTTGAGACGAGGACTAAGCTTCCAAATTGCATTATTCGGAGCACTCACTTTTGACCATAAAGTTTTGTCGAGCTTTTCGAGCTGATAAAGGAGGATAGTGCAGTAAATGTCAGTGAGACGGACATACCATAAGTGTTTCTAAAGGACCGTAGACAGATTCTAACTTCAGAGCGCCGACGCGCAAGGGCTGTGACGGAGAATATGTTCTTTGACGTGCTATCAACAGTCAATGCGTACAGGATTCTTCCGTCCATCGGGATTCTTGTACATATGTGCAAAGTATTCCTCGGTGGCAGAGAGTAAAGGGGCTGTCACGACACTAATTGTCACTTAGCCGCATTGGTCCCCCGCGTCAATGCCTTCACTTCCTTGGGTGTGAGGTAGCGAAAATCTCCTCTCTTTAGAGACCCCAGATGAACAGGACCAAAACTTTTTCGACTTGCGTGAAACACTTGGAGTCCGACATGTTCAAAGAGTCTGCGGATTAGCCGGCGTCGGCTCTCGCGTACTCTTACTTCCATGCGGGTGAGAGTTTTGTTCACGCCTAGAGCAAGTTGCACTCTCTCTGAACCAACAATTTGGACATCCTGCGCATGGGAAAATACAAGTGGGGTCCCAACACCAAGAGATTAGCAAGTTAAGAACGTGAAGCTTGGGACAAACCGTCTGAGAGTAAAACGGAGTGAAAGGAGTGCTCAATGCGCAAACAAGATGCGAAAATACATACCGCTGCAAGACATTTTGACAGCTCCCCTTTCAGGTGTACACCACGCCGTAGTGCATCAACAGCCGCGTTACTCACTGCTCCTTCACAATCAACACGCCACTCCTTGACGTGACGATTTTGCGGACTAGATTGCATCGGAACTTGGCCTCGTTCATTGGTCAAGATGACAATACCGCTATGTTCATCATCAATGCCGCCTACGGTAATGAGTCCGTTTCGTTTCTTTGGCGGAATGAGATCCATAATGCTCTTTCTATTCCCGTCTCTGGGAAGTGACAAGTAACCTGTCGGCTTGTGAACTGCCATCCAAACAGCACGGTCTTGTAGAGTAAGTTCCTTACCATTCACAGTAATCCGATCTTTGCGAGAGTTCACAAGCGTGCCTTGACCTTTCACAATACGACCGTTGACGCGAACCTTTCCCTCCGCAATGAGCTCCTCAGATTTTCTTCGTGATGCCACACCCAGCCGACTCATCACCTTCTGGAGCCGTTCTGCTTCGCCAAGATCAACACGTGGCCTGCGATCTAGGGAAGTCTTCGGACCGTGGCTTGCCTTGAGAGGAGAACGGCGTCTCTTCTCTGGATTCTGCCGTTTCCAGGACGCAGAGCATACTAGTGCAGGGCGATGCGAGACTGCTCGGGCTGGCAGACTGTGTTTGAGGCGTTCAACTGGAAGAGCGAGTGAAAACGCAACGCCAAACATAGCGTTCGGGTGGCGAGGCTGCAGAAGGAAGAAAAGACGTTCTGGAGTGAAGCAGCCTGATGAAAGACGCACGTTCAAGATGCTCTATCGGCTGTCTGGCATGGATGATTTCGAAGCTAGCGGTCGACGTTGAGAAGTCGTAACCAACCAGAACATTGATCGTTGGTCAGGCACCGCAGGAGCTCGTAGAAAAGAAGCTACGAACGCTTTACAAAGCGGATCACAAAAAGGATCTCAAAAATACGTTTTTGTCTCACTGTAATGGGGGTCTCACTCAAACCGAAAGTCATCCTGTACAGTATATGTGCAGGTTTTGCACAAACAGTGCATGGGATATCAAATGCGCTACTACAATAAGCAGGGTCAGCAACCAACAGCTCACATGAAACAACTACTGTACTGTAGTGAACTAGGAAAGTTACAGAATTGTTAGTCTCGGATTTCCCATATCCCTGTGCTCCTTTTTTATGACGGTAATTTTGTGCCCCGGTCGGGTTTTTTTGAACTTTCTTCCGTTGTAGAAGGCGCAGTCAGCCCGAAGTAGTGCCGTTCAACACAAAACAGTGTTCCGGTCAAGTAGATATAGGTCTCCTTCTGAACTGGGGAGTACTTCCGGCGTGGTGTCTGCTCAAAAAATGAATTGTGGACCGGGGTTTGATACGGTCCCAAACATCTCAAAACTCACACAAAAAGTCTCGAAAGTCTCACTGTGTATGAGATTCACACATAAATTGTGAGACGTCAACCTTTCGAAGAGCATTTTGTTGATTGTTGTGTGAATGTTGTTGACGATTTGCGAGACTCTCACTTCCGTGGAATGTGACGTCTCAAAAATGCACTATTTTAATCTCAAACATCACATTAAGTGCACAACGTCTACCAAACAGCCTTGTTTACGGGTAGTCTACGGGGTCAGAAACAGAGAGTTGGGGCGGTTATTCGCTTCAGCGTGAACTAGATGGGTTTACACGTCTTCTTGGCGTTCTTGGCGCAGAGTCGAATTCCCTTTTATGAGCTGCTGTGGGAATGTGACGCTTCAGCGTGGGGCGCGAATGCCACTCTATCCAGCAGCTACTACATATCGCTTGCCTACACGTACAGCACCACTGGACTTGACGGGAGCCCTTTCTTTTCGTTTTAGGTTTTCCGTCCTTAGTTCCGCGCTTCACCCAGCTGCATAGAACGCAGTAAGTCGGTTTCCCGTGCACCTTTTCGTGACGCAAGCTTTTGTTAGTCTTCTTGCCTTGTGAATTCCAAGGTTGTACTGCTCTGAAGCCTTTCTTTTAAAAAAAGGAGTGAGTTTGGTGACATATTCATTACAACCGTTCTCATTGTCCTCAGAGCGGGTGGATCCTATTTTTTCCTCCCATTCTTGAGCGAGTCGTCTCGCGAAGGATCCGAAAGTGTCACACTTTGTAACTTTGTGTCGTAGCGAGGCGTATCCTTCAGTTCCATATTGTTCATTGACAGAAGGCGGGAGAATATTTCTCTGCCTTGCAAGAGAGAGTCTATATATCACAGCTGCATTGCACATTTGCATACTTAGCAGCCGTGCAATAATAGTTATTACAGGGTTCTCACTTATATTCGTTCTGGCCAACGTCTTCAGATACCTGGAGATAACATCTGCGCCTCCCTTTAAGTTGTTCCAGAATACAGCTGGGGTTGTGGTACAACGACCGATCCGCGGTCGGTGTACAGTAGGAGCGGCCGCGCGCAGCGAGCACGGGGCACCGTGGCCCACGTGTAATACGTATGATTACCGAACGGGCGCAGCAAGTGACAGGTGTACGCTTGGGTACACGTGTAGTGTAAGGAACCGTGTGGGGATAATGCCCGCGCAGTGTAATGCAAGCGCGTAGTGTGAGGATTCGTGCGGTAGTGTAATGACGGCGCTAGATTTTCAATCGCGTACAGTACCTGGTCCACAGTAAGTGACAGGTACTGTATTGGACAGGTGTCCCGGGCGTCCCTCTGAGGGGTTAAGACCTGGACACCGTCCTCGCAGTAAACACGGGGGGCAGACTTGCCCCCCTCCCTTTCGCGCCTACGTACTGCCGTTTCGGTATTCTCTCGCGCGTTGGCTTCTAACCCGTTACCGGTCGTCTCCGATCTAGCACCTCGGGACGACTGCGCGTAACCGGCCAGTGTGCCACTCCCTTTTCGCAAGTCCGACCGTTCGGTAACCGCGCGCCGCGCGTCTCGCGTCGCGAGCTCCCTCGGCTCATCCTCCGAGCCTCTCGCCCGCTAGGGTTTGAGGAGAGTTGTACCACATTTTGGTACTCTTGTGGAGGGGTACAACTCTCGAGGTAGAGCCGCGCGCCTTGACGCCCGCTCTGCGCAGAACCGTACGGACGGAAAAGGTTGAGAAATCACCGGGTCGATCGCGAAGCGTATTCGACAATGAACCGACCGGATCAAGGGGCAGACTCCGCCTCCGGGCGTCTGAGCACCCGCAGTGGCAGTGGCGCACCGCGCCCCCGGGTGGAGAACCCGGAAGCCCTGCTGCGACCGCCACCGCGACCGGGCCGCACGCGAGCGTCCGCATCGGATGTTACGCCGGCCGGGTCGGCAGGCACTGAGAATCGCGTCCAATGGATGGTCGACGCGATTCAGCCGCGCATCCAGGCCTGGGTCGAGGAGTTCCTCGCTACGGAACTCCCCCAGGTAGCGCGCGTATGCCTCGACCGAACGGTGCCCGCTCTCGTGGACGCGCACGTACGCAGCGCGATACCACCGCTTTTGGACGAACTTCTACCCGCTCAAGTCCAATGCGAGGTGGTGACCGCGCTCACCACTGTGGATGAAGAATCCCCGTCCGGCACGGCTCTAAAGGGAGCGATCAGCTCCGCCGTGGCCAATCGTCTGGCCACGACCTTCGCCGGAGCAGGAGTCGACGCACGCGAGCAGCGCGACTCAACCGCTCCGGATTCTACGCTAACGCACGCTGAACCGATCGGCGCCGCACCCGGGATCGGTACAATGGCCCCTCACCCGGAGGGTAAGACCATTTACCTCCCACCAATTTATGGTGCTACAGGAGGGCCCACAGAAAATGGCCCTCCCGTACTCGCCGATACGGCTGGCCCCCGCGGGACAGAAAACCGCCTGGGGCGCTTCGCGACAGAAAAGCGACAGCCGTATCGGTCGAGCAGAAGAAGCGCACCCGGCGCTCAAGGCTACACCTCGGAGGGTACAGAAAACCCCTCCGAGGAAGAAGACACAAGACGTCGCCACAGGGCGACGCGCAAGAACCGCGACGGACGCTACGCGCGATACCGCGATGCCGGGGGGGTCGGTTACCCCTCCGATGATAACCGCGAAGGACGCTATACGCGATACCGCGATGCCGGAGGAGGTGGATAACCCTCCGATGACGAGGACACCGAGTCGGACGGATCGCGCAGAGGCGACCGCAGAGACCGCAATGCGCGCGACCGACGTCGGTTCCGGCGAGAAGGCTCCGATCCGGAGGGCTACAGTAGCCCCGGCGGAGAAGGAGACCGCCATCGCAGGGGCAGAGACCGCCGGTCTGCCCCGAGGCGGGATCCGAAACGGTTGCCGGTGATCAGGCCGCTGAACGACCTGTTCACCAAGGCCGTCGACTACCGCACGTATAGGCTGGAAAATCGCAGCGCGCGCTACGACGCGAGTACCGCGCGGCGAGTTAACCGATATCGGAAGAAGTTGGACGTCCAGCTGAGAACCCACACATTCGGTGGTCAAGATCCAATCGCGGTGCTAGGATTCCTCGCGCGCTTCAAGATGGCCTGCGACCACAATGGGGTCAGCGAAGGCGCGGCCGTATGGTGTTTCCAGTTCTATTTGACTGGGCAGGCTCACGCCTTGCTCCAGTCCAGGCTACACGGGAACACCATGGCGGTCGATGCGGAGCAGCGCGATATGCTCGAAACCTACGCGGAAGTTATTAACTTTTTATTGCGCACGTACGCGACCGACGAAGTTATTTCCGAAGCGGTCGGTGATGTCACCTCCTTCCGTCAGAGCTCTAATATGACGGAGGAGGTGTACAGTAACCAGTTGTGGGACAAGGCGTTGCGCTGCGGAACCGTATTTTCGGACAGGCGCCTGAAGTCCCTTTTTGTTGAGGGACTTCTGCCAGCGACGTGCGCGCAGGTGCGGAATTATCTCGCGACGCATCCGGGCGTGGACTACCAAGCGGTGGCACGCTACGCGCAAGCGATAGGCGAGACGCACCGCTCGGCTCGAAGACAGGCGACCTCCTTCGCGTCGCCTCAAGCACCGTCCGACTCGGTGAGAAGATTCACGCGCAACGCGCGGACAAGGCCCGTGCTGTCGGTCGAGTCCCTGTCTGAACTCCCGACAGCACGCGGAACCGAAACGGAGAAGATACTGGCGGTGACGGACCAGTCGGCGACGCCGAGCTCGCTTAGCTCGCCGCCGACTAGCTACCATCCGTCACCTGCCTCGTCCCCGGCGGGCGCGCCGATGGCGCCCGCCCAACACGGTAACGCGCGCGCACATCCGTACGGAAGGCCAGTACAGAACCAGCGGGTCCGGTTCTTTAATCAAGGATTACCTGGACCCCCGCCGTGTCGGTTCTGTCTGGACCTGACCCACCGACAGGAGCAATGTCCTGTGGTGGCGGATAGCGCGCTGCGTTCGAAGCTTTTGCAGGCCCGCGAGGCCAATTATCAAAAGCTTCGGATCCGCCAAGGTCTCCGCCCGGGTTCGCCGTTCGAGCGCCAACCGCCGACCGCGTGGCGAAATTCGCGTGCGCAGGCTCCCACGGGCATCAACGTGGTCGAGCCGCGCGAGGCCGTCCAATCGGAAGAACCCGCGCTACCGCTGACGGACAAGGGGCCGGAGGACCTTGGGTTGACGGGGGAAGCCGGGGAGGACGCGTAGAGGCGTCGACGATCCTCCCCGTGCCAAGCCTCAATAAACAAGGCACCCCGTCGACCGCTTCGGTACGCGCGCCATCGCAGAGCCGAACGGACGAAGCGGCAATTTGCTTCTTCAAGAAGCAAAATTATAAGGTCACCGCAACGGTCGGGCAACGACGCGCGATGATGCGCGCCATCACGCCGGTTCTAGATTCGGGCGCCGGCCCGAATCTAATCCACCTACGCTGTGTGGCAGAACCGTGGCGCGCTGCCATCCAGTCCGCGCGGAGCCCGCCGCTCATCGACGCTTCGAATAGGTCGATGAAGGCCCTCGGAGAGCTCAAACTGTACGTCCGGATTGGTGAGTTCGTCGCGCGCGTGCCGTTCTTGGTCGTCACCAACCTCGCGGTGGACTGTATCCTCGGAACCACGTTCCTGGATCGCCACGTGAAGGCGATCCTG